TTTTAGGACAGAAAAGTCCAAAATAGCCGACAATAAAAAAGTGATTATGAGTTTTTGCTGATTTCTTCTTACAAAATTATCACATATAACTACTGTTAACAATAATATAGGCTTTCACAACAAAGTACACCTGAAGTTATTTATAAGCTACTTAATAGTTAAGGTATGAAAACTCAAAAACACCATTCAATATGATACAAAGTATCTTAAGACATTCAAAATGGCTGTCATGACTGAGCTAACAGGTCCAAAACCTGATCAGATGTAAAACAAAGTGAGCTGAACAAGATGTTAAAGTTTTAAAACTGTGAAGCTGTTTTTCTTAAAGTGCGCAGACAAGGATTTTAGCATTTGACTTCAAACAGTGTAGACGCAATGGTTTATTAATGGATGGTCCGTCAATTGACGGATCATTGTTTCAATTTTTTTATCATCCGTTAATTAACGGATAAAGAAAAAACGTTAATTTGAATTGGAAAACGGCAAAATAAAAGACTGGGTCAGTTATCAGTTGGAATTTAATTTACTGCTGTGGAGAAAAAACAATTACATCCGACAAATGTGCTGCATACAACGCATGTTTTCCATGTGTGCTTTTACATTTCTATGTGTGCTAAATATTTTACAGCCTGTCAAAGACAGCTGGTTGATTCCAGCATGAAAATCTCTTCATCATCATGCATTATTTTGGGAGTGTAATTCAGCCATACATGTATGTCTGGCATGTACATATGTGTACGCAATAAAAATGATTCGCAATGTTTATTAGTAAATAATAGTTACATTGAGTTCAGGATTCCACGCTATAATAAGAAATACAATCTTATATTTAGGCCTAGAACTTCACCGTTCATTCACGATAAAAAAGGAAGAATCAAAGATTTTATATTGTATAGTGCAATATGTTACGCTCTGAGGACCAATATGTAACATCAAAAAGATAAATAATACATATAAATATAATTAATTCTTACATTGGCGACGGCATTTAAAGTTGCGAAGTCATACTCTGTATTTTAATTCCAAATGCATGTGTATTGCACCCCATCATATGTCAATATTGCCTTTAAAGTTTCTTTTATACGATAACTTTCCGTATTTCTGTTGTAAGAAATTTGTGTCCCAAGAAAGGAATGTACTCTACGTATTAATGGACTGCCTGCCATGGATCATCGCAGAATTTTAGAATTTTCCTCATCTTAGGAAATAAAAAGTTGATGTTAATTTACGGACTGGGAAACAATCATTCCCTGACTCATTTTACATTTTCATTTTTCTATTTGTTATCTACAGACAAAGCAAGAAATGAAAAAACAAAAGCGATTACGACATTGGTCGTTTGACAGACGATATTAAATGTAAGATCGGCAGAAACTACAGTAAATCTATTTTCAAACCTTACACCATGACAAGTGGTCAGGATGAGATCTTTTTTGTGTGCACTTCTAGCTCACATTGGTAGTTATTATACTGCTCAGCTAACTCAAAATATACAATAAGTTCAGACGAAGCGCAGTACACAGGATAAACACCAAAACAAACAATTTTGATAGGGAGTGAGTGGTTTAAGGTTTGCAATTAGATGTACTGTAATTTCTGGCTTTTACATCCAATATAAACCACCCTCCGATGGTGATGCATCTATTTTAAGCTTTTACGTCCAATACCTGCCCTCCTGATGGGTTGTCTTTTTTGGCAAATTAATGTAACTAGTTTCATCAGATAACATGCAATGTTCGCTTAAGAAAAATCTTTTAATATTTGCTATACATCTGGCTATAGATTTAGCCATTACTTATTGAATTGATCTATAGTTTTCTCCCGAGTTTTCTTCTGCAAATAGAAACATTAACATAAGACCCCTTCTAAATCTTGTGGAATTACATACTTATAAAACCTACCTTGAAAGACCCCCTCTAAAGCTTCTAGAATTGCATGTTTATGAAACCTATCTTGAGATACTCTCATTGGCTAATAAGTCTGACCTTGTGACCTAAGCCTGTATCTCATTATCATAAATTATGAATTAGACCCGTCTTCGATTATTTTAATTATCATTATTCATTTAAAACATATATTTCTCATTAAATATAAAAACAAATTAATATAATTGTTCAAGGACATCGCAGAAGACATTGTTTGCATCATAAATTCGAAGAAAATTTTGATATTTTTTCTTCTTTCTGTGATATTTCGTTAAATTTTGAAGTGAACTCTTATTTTAGTGGAATGCAGTCATGAGCCGACTCATCAAATATAAATTTGATTTCATTGTTCAAGAAAAAACTAAGACAAGAGAATTAATTCATTCAACGAGCTTTTCAATAAGTCAGATTAGAAGATTTTACTACGAAATTCACAACTCATGTTATTCTTAAAAAGTAAATTGGCAACATCTCAATTATTTCAATAGTTATAAAATTAACACTGCCTCATGCGATTGCATTGAGAATTACTATTTTAATATAATCAAAACTTTAAATTTTGAAGGATTTCGATAGGAACCTTTAGAAAATACATTTTACATCAATAAAAATAAATACGCAAATATAATGACTCCGGGACTATGACATCTGTGGAATGAATGCATTCATAGCTAAAGTCCAATGAATAAATTTGGCATATATTTAGGTGAAAAACACTACAAAACAAGAATGAACTTTGGCTTGGTTCCCAAGCAGTAATTTCGTCTTGATACAGCGTCGGAATACACAAATTATACAAAATTTTATTATGGAAAGGATTATTCTAAAATGGGGTTTATAAAATAATGAGCTAGTAACTGTGAAGTCCATCTCATGTACGGATGAAACATTGCAACATATTGGAGTTTAAATATTCTATACGCAAGTATCTGTAACTGGTCCCTGGCCTCGGCCATGCTGGGCGATAATAAAGGACACCAAGGACACCCGTCAATTGACGGACGATTCAAAAACTGACAGAACATGAATCAAATTACAGGTACCCGTTATTTGACGGATGAAACGTCAAACGAAGTATTTATATTGGCATGCGCATTTAGGAAATCTTTCTATGAACGGCCCATCCGTCAATTGACGGACCATCCATTAATAAACCATTGCGTCTACACTGTCAAAATGGCTGACAAGAAGTAGGTATCGAGTTAAATTTTCTTCATACATCTGTATGCACTCATAAGTTATCTCTGAAAATTTGAAGGTGATATCTGTAGCGGTTTTGGAGAAAACTGCCGGATGGACAGACAGACAGACAAGCCTAGGCTGACAATATGTGTGGTGGGGACATAAAAATGCCTCGTTCAAAAATCAAATGTTGCATTTCATTTAGTATACATACAGTACTAAACCCTGGGTATTAAACTAACCCTGCCTATTTATATCATACGAGTTGAAACTATCAAACTTGAAGTTGTCATTTACCCATTAAAATGTATTCTTATTTTCTAAGGGTTTACCAATATAGCAAGCAAGAATATCTGTATCAAGTATGGGCTACTGGGGCACCCTAGAACATGACTAAAACCAATCACGTAATGAGCAACGTGTAATAGCTCCTTTACACGTAACAAGGCACAGGGTGAACAAAGGTACAAATCACTATGTTAATTGGGAAGATGTTGATTGAAACACAACTGATATAATAACAAACCAAATGGTGCCAGAATCAACAACAATAAATCAATCCAATGTTAATGTAACCTTACTTTTTCAAAGCTGAACACCAATAGATAGGATGAAAGTTAATTATTAAATAAACCCAATTGCAACTTTGTCACACCGTTAAGTGGTTTTCCTGGAATCGCGATGACAAGATTTATCTAAAAATTTCCAAGATGGCCACCAGAATGTAAAATGGCCGCCGAAAAGTTAATAAGCTCTAGAACCTCTTACTATGTAACATGTGTAAAAAATTTGAAGCAAATCCATTAAGTGGTTTTCCTGGAATCGCAATGACAAGATTTATCTAAAACTTCCAAGATGGCCGCTAGAATGCAAGATGGCCACTGAAAAGTTAATCAGCTCTATAACCTCATACAATGTAACATATGTAAAAATTTGAAGTAAATCCGTGAAGTGGTTTTCCTGGAATCGCGATGACAAGAAAGTGAGACGCTGCCCGCGCGCCTGCCTGCCCGTCAAGCTGACGACAATATTGTACCTTTTTAGGTACGATAAAAACATGAAACTCTCACGCTTACATTGTTTGAAAACATTACTTTGCTTGAAAATGAGACTAATCTGACATCATTTTTCTGCGCATGCATTGAAGTTCACGTTCATGCTTTGTTGAATAAGCGTCTGTAAAACCAATGTGTAAGAATATGATAATCTACATGTAAATACCTTTAAGCTGCAAGCTGACCCACAGAAAATAAATAAATTGGACGTCATTTTTCTGCGCGTACATTGAAGTTCACGTTCAAGTTTTGTTAAATGCGTGTAACTTTACTGTCTCTATTGTCTTGTCTTATATACATATTAATCCCCCCTTCGCTCAGTTTTAATTATTTACGATTATCTTTTATATATTTACAAAACCAGCAATGACATTAATTTTGTGATTATAATGCCACTTACAAGTATTTTAAACAAGTTGTGTAGACCCCCATTGCTTGATTTATAGCAAAAACATTGGCATTTGCACTTTGGTGAGGTTGCGCATTTTCTAATAGATCTTGTATCTTACAAGCCTATCAGTTCAAAAAAAATTATAGAAGACCTAACATATTTCCCTGTGTATTGCGCCTATTCATTTAGCAATGGAATTTCAAACTTTTTCTTGGTAAAATTAATCTACAAGATTTCTGGAAGTTTTTATCAAAAATGGGCTGATCCCCCTCCTTTCATTTTAACCAATCACCAGGCGTGAGTATGGCAACAACTTCCTGAAATGAAATTGACATTATTTTCGAGAAGTGGCCTCTTAATTTAATTGGAGATTTTACACATTGGTTTGTAAATAATCCTAATGTTCAAAAATCATCACACAAATATCTTTTAATTTAGTGTTCAAACCTTTTGTTTTGTAATCTCAATGGCCCTATCTAGTTCCATCCTGGCTGCCTGCATCTGTGTCTTATGTGCCTTGTTGTGTTGGTCTAAGTCCATAGCATATTTCTCCCCAAGTTCAGATCTAAATAGAATACACTTACATTCAAGAGTAAACAAAATATTGCATTCATATCAATTTAATTCAACTTTTTCACAATTTCTTATATTAGTCTAGAATAGGTATGTTGAAATAAAATGACATCTTACATTTTGACGAGCACCTTAACCATGGTTATCAAATGAAAGGTAAAGGGTTTCTTTATTGATACTGAGATTTGCCAAGATGAAATAGGTGTCGAAGTGACATTTTGCATAATTTTTTTTTTGAAAATTCTATTATATAAAATAAATATATACCATGTTTAATCAATTAGGGGGGATTTTGGGACCTTAATAGTTTTTTCTTTCGGATTTGCATGCAATATCGACTAAAACGAGTGTGTTCAAAATATGATGACAACGTTAACACATTTTGACGAGCAGCTTAACCATGGTTAATAATTGAAAGGTAAATGGTTCCTTTGTTGATACTGAGATTTGCCTAGATGAAATAGGTGTCAAGGTGAGTTTTTTGGTAAAAATGTGTTTTTGCCCAAAAAATTTTAAATTGATAAAAAATATTTTTGAAAATTTATTACATAAAATACAGTCTAGTTGACTCTCACAAGTCAAACAAAGCTCATAATAATAACAAGAACAACGGCAATGCCAAAGCGTAGCGAATCCCATCGAACAGAAATGGCATGCATTTTAACAAACGAAATATACAGCAAATATCACAAAAGACACATAAGAAAGGCCACCATTTTCAAAATGGTCGCTCACTAGCCAAGTTGTCATCAGAAGAAGTAATATGCTTTTTCTTTATAGTATTCACACACCAAATATGAAAAAATCGCTCCACTACTTTTCGAGTTATAGTAAAACACTTTAAATTGGTTGAAATTTTTCAAAATGGCTGCCTTCTACCAAAAGTGTCATTGGACAGTGTACCATGCTTATGTCATTCACATACCAAATATGAACAAAATCGCTCCACTACTTTTCGAGTTATAGTAAAATACGTTAAAATGGCAGCCATTTTTCAAAATGGCCGCCTTCTACCAAAAGTGTCATTAGACAGTGTGCCATGCTTATAGTATTCACAAACCAAATATGAACAAAATCGCTCCACTACTTTTTGAGTTACAGCAAAAATCGTAAAATAACGAGTAAAGGCCGCCATTTTTCAAGATGGCTGCCATGTGCTTCTTTAATATCTCTATTTCTAGCTTTATCAATGTCCTATATAATTTTTTACATTTAAAACATATTGCTATTACAGTTTTACATATTGCACCTAAATTACTGTAAAATCGGCACTAAAATGGCCGCCATTTTTAAATGAGCGGCCATTTTGAAAATCGGCTTTCGACCAGAACTTCTACCCCCAAAGGGTATATGTGTACAAAATATGAACAAAATCGGCCCAACGGTATTTGAGTTATTGCCCGGACGGACGGATGGACAGACGGATGGACGGACGTACGTACGGACGGATGGACGGAGGCGTTCCCTTTATCCCTCCGAACTTCGTTCGATGGGATAATAACTTGTCATTTGATCCTAGATTACCTACAGGAGTAATACATTGGGCTCATTGGCACTGACCAATAAGCTTTGCATTCCATTAGGCAGTGTATGTCTGGTGTAGAACTCATGATTAATACTAGTACATTTGACATATATTTTTATATGATTTTCATCTTCTATCTTCTATTTCATAATTATTCTCATTTGTAATTCACTGTAATTTCATTGGTACCATCATGGGCTTTCAATTAGCATGGGCTTTTAACTAGACAGGTAGGCAACTTCCAATATTTCATACATAAGCATTGCCTTTGGGTTTTCAAAATTGGAGAATGTACACATTCCAAGAAAGTCTTATTTTATACATTTTATGGATGATTTAAGAAATAACTCAAAAATAAAAACATGATTATCTGCAAAGTCAACGTCCCTTATACCTATTTATTACAGGTCATGTAGACCATTGTTGCCCAATTTATAGCAAAAACATTGACTTTTGCACGTTGGTGATGATGCGCCTTTTTAATAGATCTCATATCTTAGAAGGGTATCAGTTCAAAAAATATACTAGATGACCTAACATATTTTGCCATGCACTGCACCTATTCATTTGGCAATTCAATTGTAAATTTTCTCTTGAAAAAATAAATCTTCCAAATTTGTTGAGTTTTCTTGCAGAAATCCCCTGATCCCCCTCCATCATTTTTGTACGATCACCGGGCGTGTTAAAGGTCTCATCGGAATCGCTCCTCGGGGTAGCCCTACGTTCGTCAGTTCACTATACCATGGTAGCATATCTGACAGAGAATTGACAGAGCGTTCTGGCTTTTTAAGACTGCCATTCAATAAGAACGATGATGTTATGGTGGACAAGGGTTTCTTGATAAAAGATTTGCTCGATCCCCCATTTCTTGGCCAGAACGATCAAATGGATGCCAATGATGTGTATCAAACACAGCAGATTGCCGTAGAAAGAATACATGTGGAACATAGTATCAATAAAGTGAAAAATAACCACATCTTTCATCGAGCAATCCCGATCAATCTTTTCGGATCTATCAATCAAATCTGGGCTAACAGTGTGTACTTTCCCTTTTTCAGCCACCTATTATTTCACAAGACAATTTTACTTTTATGTCTGCCGAAGAATTTGATAATGGTTACATAAGTGATGATTAATTTCATTGAACAATGCTAAAGTTGTTTTATTGAGGCAAAGTTTCTAGCTGTTTTTCCCACGATCGTCTATTTGAAAGAGATTTACCTCTTAAAAAGCCCATGGAGAAGGGAGAAGTTCTATGTGCTAATTGCAAATTAAAAAAAAAATACAAGCTATGATGTCTGACTATTTGTTACTTCAAATTGCATCTAAAATGAATTAATAGTTCACGACCCATCATGAGTTTGGAAATTATTTATAAGGTTTGTGCAAGCATGAGAAAAATATCATTAGCCTCTGTTACATTACAAACTCTTCTTTATATGTTATATTTTTATTAGAAACATAATAATGTATTTGAATATTTATGTTAAATGAATATTCCTATATAATAATATGCAGTCTTGTCTGAATAATTGTTTGTCTTTGGTACGGTAATTGGATGCAATTTATTAGAGACTAGCACTCGTATCACAAATTATTCCTATGGTTTCATTTACCAGGTAGTGTATTTAAGACACAGCTGAAGACAAAATAGTTTGAAAAATAAATTTCAATTAGTTTTGATATCATTTTAGATGAGATTAATTTTACTCATTGGGCGATCTAATGGTAAATGAAGTTTTCACGCAAAAAAAGCCCTGCTTTGACGTCATCGATTTTCACCGACCAATCAGCGCAGCGGTCAAATGGGTTCACTTTGGACTTTGGAGAAAGGTGAATACTGACCAACATATAAGGAGAAGATCCATAATAGAATCGGGATGTCCGGCCTTTCTCTACATAAATGATGATAGGAAATGACACACCAATGTCATAACCCTAGGATCAACCAAATATATGCTACCTGTCACATAAGTACTGATGGTATTTTGGGGAAGCTTAGCTACTAGACCTTGTCTCCCAGGCCCCCCTACCGAGACCTCTCACCATCAACACAGATTGCATGACATGTGCATGTTTATACTGGTGATGTCTCAAGACATTGTCTAAGTCACCACTCCCAAAAACCAAAGGATCGTTCTATTTTAATTTTGTAATGAGCAATTTGACATTTATGTTTTACATATCGTCGCATCTTCAATCAATTCTATCAACCCTCTTATCCAAACAATTTTGCTATAATTTGAAGAGGCGTAGCTAGCCCATTTCGCCAGTGTACACCTGTCAGAGGTTATGTTTTTATAACAAAATGGATGAACTTCTGTCACAGGGCCAGTTCATTTTGTTATAAAGACTAACGTTCACTATACGAGGAATGCGGTTCATTGATTTAAGCTCTGTGTTGTCATTCTATGCATCCATATGAGTTCATTCGTGCTTTCAATTATCATGCACCGTACCAACTTTATTCAAATTTATATGAGGTGCAATATCTTTAGATCCATATACAAAAAAATGTAATTGTATGATGATGATACATGAGATCTCTTACGTTCATATTTGAGATCATGTTCGAATTAAAGATCTATATATCAGGAGGTTATTTCCACTTCTATTTTGTATTTATATTTACAGAATAGAAAGTTAACTTAAAAAGAGAGATAGAAATATTTATTTTTAATTGCAATTGATCTGGGAAATTATTTTTTCAAAATTTGAGAGTATGCCTGTGTGTACTTGGTATGTACTACGCCACTGTTAATTTCATATAGCAAAACAAACATTCCTTTTAAAAATATCGTATATACTTATATCAATGTTATAAATAAATAAATTAAACAAAGCGTATGTACTAGGCAGGGACATGTAATATATATACAACAGGGAAAGCGACAGCTGCAATTATATCGTCGCACCAATCATAAACACATGGCAGATCTAGACTTTGTATTTGTTTACATAACACATAGGTTCAAGAATATCCGCGTATAACTGCTTTTGATTGTACATTTCTTGAAGAATAATTTATCTTATCCCACGATTAATGTGTTATCTGTACAATAACAGCTATTCATATTTCTGATATTTTTGAAATCCGTGTGATATTTTCCAGAAAATCGTTTATCAAACTCATATGCGTGTGATATTGTTTATCTCACGCATATCTGTGTGATATCACATTTGCATTTCACGCCACAATATTGTTGGAAATCAGGTCAGATAATTTATTAATGTTAATTTAATTTTTTATTAATAATCTAGTCACAATAATATTAACTGTTATAAAGCTGACATAAAACTGACAAAAAAATGCTTACATGTTCATTTTATTTACTTTTAATTGTTAAAATAAAGTGTGTCAAATATTCAATTGATATTCTAATTTCTAGTTTATATTGTCTGCCAATGTCCTGGAAATTGGATCAGAACATCAGAACGTGATTGTAATCATGGGATAAACCCAATAT